TTTCATCAAGAGTGATAAGGAAGTGATAATTGAGTTTTGAACACATGGAGCATTTTGCGGAAGAGCTCAAGAGACAGTTTGAAATGGAATATAGTTCTTTTTTAAAAAATACGACTAATATTATGGAACATGAATAAATCACCATAAGTATGAATTAAATTGATAGACTTCAGAAACAATAATGTATACTTTTTTCTTCTATTATCTGGGGTTCAGGAAGACAGACATCTTTTATACCTTTTCCCCCAAACTTTGTTGATATAGGATTGACATATAAGTTTAAGATAGTTATTTTTGACATATGTATATATCATGAAATTATTGCCACATTGAGATTAGTTGAAACACCATCTTTCTGCTTTTGTTTTTGGATTTGGGGGCACACTGGCTATGCTCAGCTTTTACTCATGGTTTTGTACTCAGGGATCATTCCTAGCAGTTGAGAGGGGAACTATATAGGGAGTTAGGGATACAACCTGGGTTCAGTGGGTACAAGGCAAGGACTCTACCCACTGTACTATGTCTCTGGCACCTTTGGACTATATAGCCCTATTTCCTCTCCCCTCCACCCTTGGCAACTACCAAGTTAAATTTAAAAAAAAGCCAAATACCTATAAATTAATAATTTTAAGTTGAACTTTAAAATATAAGTGGGATCATGCACTTGTCTTTTTCTTTCTGACTGATTTCACCCTCCAGATTCATCCACATTGCAATGTTGCAGAATTCCTTTAGTTTTTAAGGATAAATAATGATTTACTGCGCACATAATGGGCTGGAGCAATAACACAGTGGTAGGTTGTTTGCCTTGCATGGGGCCGGCCCCACCAACCCATGTTCAATTCCTCTGCCATTCTCAAAGAGCCCAGCAAGCTACCGAGAGTATCTTGCCCGCACGGCAAAGCCTGGAAAGCTCCCCATGACATATTGGATATGCCAAACACAGTAGCAACAAGTCTCACAATGGAGACGTTACTGGGCCTGCTCAAGCAAATCGATGAACAATGGGAGGACAGTGCTACAGTGCTACGCACATAATGTATGATATATAACTCACATGGTGTTAATGTAGTATGTAGTATACTTGTCATATACACATATACTAATAAATACATTGTATACTATATACACATATACATTAATCTCACATTGTACATATAATCTCACGTTTTTGGTTTGAGGTTTGGGACCACACCTGACATGCTCAGGGCATACTCTTGGCTCTGCTCAGGGATCACTCCTGGCAGTGTTCAGGGGAAGATAGGTGATACTAGGGATTTATTCCTGGTCAGTTGCATGAAAATCAGCACCTTACCCACTGTTCTGTTTATCTGGTACCAATCTCATTTTCTTTACCTATTCATTTCTTGAGACACAGTACTTAGGTTGATTCTGTGTCCTGAAGATTGTCAATTATTTCAAAATAAATATGTGGGTAATAAATGTATCTTCAAGATAATGATTTTTTTGTCTTCAGATGTATATTCATAAGTGGGATTGTTAGATTGTGTGATGATTCTTAATAGTTTTAATTTTTTTTTACAAAATCATATTTTGTCCACAGTTGTTGAACCAATTCACATTGTTCCCTCCAGTGAACAAAATTTCTTTTCCCTACACATACTCACCAATTGTCTTTTATTTTTGTGATAGTCATCATATATATGAGTAGTATCTCTTGTGATTTAGATTTCCATTTCTACAGTTGGGGGCCACACCCGCCAATGCTTTTATAACTATTTGCCATTTATATATCTTCATCAGGAAAATAACTTTTGAAGTACTATGTCCATCTTTTCTTGCCTTTTTTTCTTTTTTCTTTTTCTTTTTTTTTTTTTGGTTTTTGGTTTTTGGTTTTTGGTTTACCCTGCATTGTGTAGTAAGTCCTTTATCCTTGCACTATCTCTCTAGTTCCTTCTTTTAATTTTGGGGGAAGAGTTTGATAAGAACTGGTATTCTTTAAACTTTGCTAGAAATTATCAGTGATATCATTAGATTCTTGGTCTTTTCTTGCTGGGGGGGGGTTTGATTTGGTCTCCCTATGCACTGTTATTCTGTTCTGATTTTCTCTTTGGTTGTTACTTTATTGGTTTCTGGTAATTATCCATTTCTTCCAGATTAACTAATTTGTTGGAGCACAATTTGTTATAGTTATCTTATAATCTTTTTTTTATTTCAGTGGTATCTATTGCAGTGTCCCATCTTTCTTTTACAATTTTATGTGTTCCCTCTCTCACACACACACTTATTTTATTATATTTTTTCATAAAACCAATCATTTTTCAAATCTTTATATTTTTTGATTCTTTATATCACTTACTTTGCTTTTATATTTAATTTAATTTGGGGGAGGGAAGGATTTTGGGTCATACCTAGTAGTGCTTAGGACTTACTCCTGGCTCTGTGCTAGTGATTACCGGTAGGGCTTGGGGGACCATATAGGATGCTGGGGAATCAAACCCAGGTTGGCCGCATGCAAGGTAAGCACCTTACCAGCTGTACTACCATCCCTCCAGCTTCAGTAACTATTTTAAATGGTGACTCAGGTAAAGATTCCATTTAAGTATCTATATAATAAGATTATAGATAATTCAGATACTTATATGAGTATATAAATGTGTATACAATTTGTTTAGTACTTATGAGTATATATATGTTATAAATGTATGTATGTATATGAATACTAAATTCATATATTTATAATTTAACAAATGTTGCTGTTCTTCCCTCAAAAGATTAAATTGTCCCCGGAATCCTCATGACCTCCCCAGAGACACCTTAAGGCCATCTCAGCAGTTTGTGAACTACAGTTTAAAGAAAACATTTTCATGACATAACAACTAAATCAAATATTTAAATGGGCTTTCTATAGAAAAATTATGCAACAAGGTGGGCACTGTATTCCATGAGTCACTTTTTTGATTCATTTGTAGCAATTGCCATATGACTGACATAGCTCAAACAGCAAGTGTATGATTTATCCTATCAAGAGCCAGAAGGTTAATATTTTAGGTTTTGTGGGACACAGATTATCTCTGTTGCATTTAAAACAATTCTCCTCAATTTTTTCCTTTTTATATTTTTTTGAAGTTTAGATAACATCGTTACAATAGTGTTGATTTTCATGGTTTTGATATACAGTATTTGGTACCACCACCAAAGTGCCCCAAATCCTCCACTGCTGCCTTAGGTGACTTCTAAACCCTATTGCATATTCTTACCTTTTTCTGTTGCAACTCTTTAATATGTAAAAACCATTCTTATCTCCTGAATTTGGCCTACAGGCTGTAATTTGTCAAGTCCTGTTCTAGATTTAAGTTAGGACTTAACTTTAATGTCCATTTCAACCAAGGCCTAAATCATGCAAAACTAGAAATAATCTCATTCCCTGAGCACTGCCAGAAGTGAGGAGTAAGTCCTGAGCTTTGGCGGGTGTGGCCCCCAAACAAAGCAAAACAAAACAGAAACAAGAAAAAGACTACAAGTCTCACCATTTTCCTATCTCATCAAACATCTTGCTGCAGGGAAAACAAGAAATGTACCCTTGCAAATGTGGGTAGGGCCGGATTGATTTCAAAACTCTTGTAAATGAAAGGCTACTATGGAATTCTGTTCTTAGTTTTGATTTAATGAGAACTGTAACTATTCTTCATTTTAATAAAGAATCCAGGTTAAATTTCCCCCAAAAGGATACTAGTCATCACACTAAACTATTTATCCCTTACTTGCTAATTATTGTAAATGACTACTGAGTTTTCACAACTATAATAAAGCAAATAACTCCACAGACTATGTCGTTTGAGATTTCTAGCTGTATCTCTAAAGTAATGTTTCCGTCCTGAAAAATAAGCATTGCTCTTAGTTCTTATCTTGCTTCAGAAATTGTTTCTCTATGCCAGAAATTTATCATAAACGAGAAGAATACTACAAGTAACAACTGTCTTAAGAAAAACAATCAGGCCCAGAGTACAAGGGGATAGGGCACTTGCCTTGCACGTGATCGACCCAGTCTCCCCACCTATGGTCCCCCGAGCCCACCAGGAGTGATCCCTGAGCTCAGAGCCAAAAGTAACCCCTGCACTGGGTGTGGCCCCCAAACAAAAAAACCAAACAGCTCCCCCATTAAAAAAATACAAGAATCACTTCTTGAAATTTTAATTCATAGTGAAAAAGCGATTTTTTAAAAAGTGCACCATCTACAATTTGTACTTCCTTTTAGTCTCCACCAAAAGGATGTTTTTGACGGTTTCCCAGAACTTTCATTACCCCTGTTTCTCTGTTGTCATTAAGTACCCGAAGTTATTACCGATCACATTATGTAATTGAATTTACCCGTGCAGCAATTGGTTTACTTGCTTTTGCTCCCACCAGATTTCCCTACTCCAGGAGGGCGGAGACCGTGTGTGATTGCTCCTACAATTGTGCCTGCGGTCTCTCCGGTGTCGTTAAGTATCTGTACATTTCTGAGTGAAGCAAGCACATGCACGGTCCAATGGCAAGCACTATGCATTTTAATCACAATGAGACGTTCGGTTCCAGGATCACCACTTCTTTTCCCTGGCTCATTTCAACCCGGAGGTTCCCATTCGCAGCCACCTCAAAAAGATACTGCTCGGATGGGGTAGGAGAGTGCTTTTTATTCGCATTGCAAAAGGAAAGCGCCTCCCAGGCACCACGCCGGCCCAGGCCTCTAGAGGTAGGTAGGTGCCCAAGCACATCCACGTCACCCGGTTATATAAGGGGCCCGCCCGCCCGTCCCAGTGTCCTCTGATATCCCAGACCGGGCGTCACAGAGCGCCACACCGGGACGCGAGGTTCCCCCCAATTTTTGGAAGGTGCGGTCTGTGAGTGTGACCCGTCCCCCCTCCCCATCCCCCCCCGGAGCTGCGGGAAAGCCGGTGCGGGAGCGACGCCTCTGGAGGACGAAGCCGGAAGCCCCACCCGACCTCGCTTGGGAGCGGCGGTTTGCAACGTGCCCTTGTTTCCGCGTTGCTAGGAGACGCGGCCGGCGCGCGCCCCGGGAGCGCGGGAAGGGGGCGGGGCCGCGGCGGGCGCTGGCTGCGGGCCGCGGAGCACCGTTAGGGCGGCTTGGCGCGCAGCGCCCGCCCGGCGCCCGGAGGAGTGGCGAGTCTCCGCCGCCACCGCGCACGTCTCGCTGGTGCCCTGCTGTCAGCCGACTCCAGAGCCGCTGTGAGCGTCGCTGAGCCCCGACGAGGGAAGGATGGACAGGTGAGCCGACGCGGGGGCTGGGGTGGTCACGCCCTGTGCCGATGGACATCTCCGGCGGGGTGTGGGATTTAAGGGAGCAAGGAGGGGGACAGAGAAGGGGACCGAGATGAAGGCCTCGCCCTGCAGGAACAGCGGTGCATGCTGCCCGTTTGGGGGCGGCGGGGGCTGGTGGGGGTCGCGGATGAGATCTGGCATGCCTTGGGGGCCGGCGCGGCCTCAGGCAAGGCTCAGTGTCCGGCTAGAGAAGGGTTAACGCGCCGGCAAGTGACCGCGGGCCCCGGATGTGAGAGCCGCGGCGTGGCGTCCGTCCGCGGCCGCGCTGCAGGTGCGCTCTGGTGGGCTGAGCTGGGCGACTGGCGGCGCTCCGGCACTCAGGCCGAGGCTCGGGCTGGCCAGCAGGGGCCGCTGTGCTCCCTTCGCGGCCCGCGTTGTTTTCTAACTTGAGGGCAACAGGTGGTGCCTGTGCACCGAGATAGAGACCCGCTCCGCCGCCGCTGGGAGTGGCAGTTGCTCTCGCCAGTTAGGGCGCGGGGGCGGGCGTAGCCCGGCCGCGCCGATGCGGACGACCAATGGAATCGGGGCTTCTGGGTGGGCCGGGACTGGTGGGCGTGGTCGGAATCTGAACCTACGGTTTCTAGTGCTGCGCCAGCCAGAGTTGCGCGGAGACCTTGGACCGTGTAGGGTGCTTCACCGGGCGTAAAAACGCTTACCAATGCTTTCTCATTTGGACCCAGACTCCAGTTTGGGAGGTGAGAACATCGTGTTTGGTTTGGTTTGGTTTAAATTGGGGGGTTTGTGTGGGGGAGGGTTGGTGTTGAGATTAGTTACGCAGTTACTATACATGTGGGTTAGGTCCGCCAGATAGGATTCTGCTAGGAGTTCCCAGCTCCTTTTCAAAAAGCTCGTCTGTGGTTTTCCTGTGACTTACTCCAGAGTACCGCAGGTGTCTCCGGAATGAGATCTTGGAGAGTTGGCACCTAGAAGAGTAGACCAAAGTGCATGTTACTCAGAGTATTTCAGTTCATGTAGAAGAATTTCAGTCTCATCGTGGGTTGCTAAAGTGGTCCATATCTTATTTGGTTTGTTTTACGTAAGCAAGGTTTATCAAGTTGCTCCTGTTGCTTAATTCAGCAGAAAGTGAGGAAAACAGTGTGTAGTCCATGTCAGCGGAATAATTGGGTTTTTTTTTTCCTTCTCAGCAATCTTGTAGCTGGATTCCCCTAAGAGGAGACGTTCCGAAGCGCTAAAAAGAAAGCATTTCAATTTGGAACATTTATTTACAGCTGGAAATGGGGAATGGACTGTCAGACCAGACTTCTATCCTGTCCAGCTTGCCTTCATTTCAGTCCTTCCACATTGTTATTCTGGGTTTGGACTGTGCTGGGAAGACAACTGTATTATACAGGCTGCAATTCAATGAGTTTGTAAATACCGTACCTACCAAAGGATTTAACACTGAAAAAATTAAGGTAACTTTGGGAAATTCTAAAACAGTCACTTTCCACTTCTGGGATGTAGGTGGTCAGGAGAAATTACGGCCACTGTGGAAGTCATATACCAGATGCACAGATGGCATTGTGTTTGTCGTGGACTCTGTTGATGTTGAAAGAATGGAAGAAGCCAAAACTGAACTTCATAAAATAACCAGGATATCAGAAAATCAAGGAGTACCCGTGCTTATAGTTGCTAACAAACAAGATTTGAGGAACTCGTTGTCTCTGACAGAAATTGAGAAATTGTTAGCAATGGGTGAACTGAGTTCATCGACTCCATGGCATTTGCAGCCTACCTGTGCAATCATAGGAGATGGACTAAAGGAAGGTCTTGAGAAACTACATGATATGATAATTAAAAGAAGAAAAATGTTGCGGCAGCAAAAGAAGAAAAGATGAGTGGTGCAACCTTTTACATCTGTGTCGAGTCGGTTTTCTCTGGTCTGCTTTTGACAAATGGAAGAATGTCTACAGCCTGGTTTGCCTGTCTGCCGTTCTGGATGCTGTTCAAGCTTTGTTTTGTTGAACAATCAGATGCCCAACTCTGTTGCCTTGTGGAAGATGAGTAAACGCACTGCTTCTGAAAATGGTCTCTTCTCCCCAGCCCACAAATCTTTTGGTACTACCATTTTGGGAAGCCGAACAAGGATAGTTAAATTGACCTGACAACAGTTGTGGAAATTGACCTGAAGTTAGTGAAATAAAACTTTGAAGAGTGTCTGCCTAGTGTTTTGTGCTTAAATCTTTTGGGGGACGTCTTTGCAAGGAAATTGCTACAAGGCTCTGTATGTTAAGATAAAATGTTAATGAATGGAAATGTTATGGTAGATCAATAATATATATTCAGTTACAATGATCACAGTGTTTCAACCGATAAGGGACAAGAAGAATGTGTTTTTGTTTTTATTTTTTAAGTTTTGGCCAAATGAATTTTGACAGGCTAGAATAAAACACAATACTGTACCTCAGTTCTAAATTGTTGAAGTTGGTCTAATTTCATAAAAATAAGGTGTTTGGAGCATATTCAAGTGCATGGATTAGTTTCCCTACAAAGCATGTTTTGGTGTGTAGTCTTACCCGTTTTAGAAATAGCTATGCATCTTTCTACACAATCAGGTTTAAAACACCTTTGTGGGATTTTAGGGCTCCTATAGAAATAGTTTGTAGTCAGAGGCACTTTCACCTAAAGAACCTAAAATACTCTTAAATTATATAATATATTTGGGCATGTAGACTAATTATAAATGCATATGCTTGGATATATGTATGAATTTATCAAGAAAGCAATGGATGCACTCAGTCAGGGTGTAATTATAATACATGGTCTATTCAATTGTAAAATATTTGTTTTATTAATAATCTGGCTGAACACAGATGCGGTTTTTCATATATTTTTGTAGTGTTTTGAGAGGAACAAAAGCTTTATAAACAACATCCGATGCACTGTGGAATGGAGATGTTAGATACCCTGTATGTGTTCTGGGCTTTAATTATTTTGTTTACAAATTGAACAGTATTATACAGTCCAGTCCTGATTATAAGGAAGGAAGAAATGAGACAGTATTGCAGATAAGAATTACAATTACAGAAAATGAAGGGGAAAGTATCAAAGCTATGTTTTGTGAAAATTCACTGGTACTGTTTACAAAGGAATAAATTGTGCTGGAAGGAGGAAAACCTTTAATTCTTATCTACAGGCGGATTTTATAAATTAGTAACAACTTCTATGTGTAAAGCCAACAGCTCTTCATTTGGAATGTAACCAAAAGAAAAGCTCTTTGCTAGGTTTTGTTTCCTTTTTTTTTTTTTTTTTAAGTGGCACAGCAGAAATTTTTGGAACATTGATTCTTGTTACACACAACATGAAGTAGCTTCTGTGGAGCTTCATGTGTAAATGTACCGGCACTAGTGACCATCACCTAGAATGTTTATATTTATAGAAATGTGGATAAAAACCAATAAACTACTTGAGGCACTAGGAGAACAGCGTTTGAGTATTAATGTAATTCTAAAATTCTACTTCTCCTGAAGCTTTTAATTAGATGTGTAAAAACAGCTGGATTACATAGCCCTGTAGCAATTTCCTTCTGTTCAGGTGTGACAGAAGCACCAAAGATTGTTTTCAGGACCCTACCCTGTTTTTCCATTTTCACATTCACTGAAACAGTGTGTATTCCAAACATAACTATATCCATAAAGGATTAATAAAGCTTGCTGAAAAAAAATCTGAGAATCAATTTAGATTTTTAACCTGTCTATATTCTTTATATATTTATATAATGTAGTACTGTTGTTTAAAAATGTTGAGCATGTTGACCTTTATTTTTAAGGCAAATAACAATCAAATCTGTTCATCAGTTTCATAATTAGTCAACCACAGCAAAGGAAAGAAAATGACATAAGCGTTGTATTAGCTTATACTAAGAGCCTGGGGATCTGACTTAGCAATAGAGTATTTATCTTGCATGTGTGAGGCCCCTGGTTTGATTCCTAAGAACATCACCCCTCCCCCCAAAAAAAATACATGAACTGCAAAACTCAAATATTTTATTACCTTTAGCTTTTCCGTTAATATCATAGGATAGTTGGATAATGAGTTTTAAAATAGAACAGGAAAATGTAGATGATACCTTTCTATCTAGTTTTTTTTTTATTAAGATGTATGTTTCTTTTATAAGTCTATTTCTAACTTGTATTTGAATTTAATAGCAATGTTAATAACTGAATAATTCTATCAGAAAACTTAATTTTTTAAAAGCAACACTTTTTATACTTAGGCAAAACCTACATGTAGAGAGTTGGTTGAAAATGGATTGATTATAAGGCCAGGAGAAGTAGCTCAACTAGCTGAGGGCATACTTTATATTAAATGGGATGCATAGGTTCTCCCTAGCACTACTGTGTGGTCCCCCAGCACTGGACCCATGGAGACCGCCAGATGTAACCCAAAAAACAAAACTAAAAAAGGGAAATTGTAAACATTTAGGGAAAAAATTGTGTAGCTATTGATGTTCACTGATATTTCATTAAGGAAAATTCTTATTAGAAACTACAAAGCAAAGTGAAAGTATTGGTTTATTTGTAAATGTGCATATATAGAGAGAGAATGAGTATTCTTGTGTGTAGACAAGTAAATGATGGTATGTAAAGAGAGGGAAGGAATAGGCCTAGAATGTTTGTACAGGGCATTTGACACCTTAACAGTGTTGCATTCATTATTTATGTTGACCTGGAAGGAGTTCTTTGGTAGGATATCACTAGATTCCATTCAGGACAGCCATTTCAACAGTGATGTGAACACAATGATCTCATGAACAATAATTAAGAGAAAATATTCTCAATTGCTATAACTATAAAGTTTTAACTAATGCAACATGGAATTAGTGTAGTATCGTTAGAAATTTAAGGTATAAATTGGCAGAGCATTTTGTAAATAATTAGTGGCAATGCTTATGCAACATTGTGAATGTGTTTAATGCTGTTGAAACATACCCTCAAATCATTCATATAGATTTTATGCATATTTTTCTATACAAAAATTTAGTAAAATATTAAATGTATACTTCATTTCAGAGAATCAAATAAAATAGAATCTCTTAGAGGCCAGATTTAGTTAGAAATTATATAGAAGACTTGGTGTTTAGAACTATGAAACAATATAATACACCAAACTAACAATCATAAAGTTCATCTTATGGTGAGCAGATAAAATGTTCTCAAATAAGCCTTAGCTGAAGTGTCAATAGAAATGTAGGCGAATTCTAAGTGTCCTGGCTAAAAGCAGTGTGAGGCTCTGGAAAGATAGTACAGCAGGCACTGTGCTTTACTGCTGTACTGTACTATACACTGCATTTGCTGGGTTCAATCCTCAGTATCCCATATGGACCCCCTGCATACTGCCAGTAATAATTCCTGAGTGCAGAGCCAGGAGTAACCTCTCATCATCGCCAGGTGTAACCCAAAAAAAGCAAAAATAAATGTGAGCTTGGGAATCAGGCCTGTGTTCAAATCCTGGCTGTTACCACTATTCCACATAAAATCTTTTGAACAGTTATTTGAAAAAAAATATGGCTGTATGACCCCAAATAAAGATGAAGGATATCAAAATTTTGAGAGGATAACTAAATTATTGGTAATTATATAAAATATCACTTAAGGTGAATTAATAGGTATCCATTATAGGCAAGTGATGAGTTCATACTGGCCATTTAAGTGTGAATCCTGAATTCAACACTTAATAGTTTTGTTTGGGACAATTTAACTACTCTCAGCCTTAATTTAATTTCTTCATTGAACAACTGAGGTCACACCTACAGTTTGGGTTTAGTTAATTTAAAAGAATTAAATGAAGCAATATGTGTTTAACTACCTGACATTACCTGAGTACAGGTGCACCTAATCATTTAATGGATGGTTATTAATAGACAATGTTTTCTGACATATGTATTTTTGCTGTTATTAGTACAAATGTATTTTTGTTGTTGCTGTAGTTTGGCATAAAATGGAAGCTTGGTGAAACTTGGGAGAGTCAAAACATAACTAACTTCGTTGAAATTTGAAATGTTTTTTTAAATTTCTAAATACAGATATAATAATCAGAAGCAAACCAAGGGCCAGAGAGAATGCAGCAAACTTAGCATATGCCAGAAATACAGGTTCCATCCCAGCACTTAATGGTATCTGAACACCACCAGGACCAATTCTAAGCACCAATCTGGCAGTAGCCCCTGAGCATAGGGTGTGGCCCAGAAAACAAATTTGTTCTTTTCTGGTGTAGAAATCAATCAAAATAGAATATTTCTTAGAATATTTCCACTTACAGTAAAAATCTAGAGCTGTCCAAGTGACTGAAGTTTCTCAAGAGTGTTCACTATCAATTCACAGATTTTACTTAACAAATAGGAATCAACAACTTCCACCCTTTTGTGGAAACTTTCTGATATCTGTAGGTTTATCTGAGATGATGATGGTGATCTTTGTTTGGGGGTGGCGGAGCAGATATGTGAGCAGTTATTTTCTAGCTATCAGTTTTTAGATTTACTTGTGTTTTGTTGGATTTGAGATGACCAATATTAGATAATGGGTTACAAACAAGTTGAATGAAAAATACTGGGTAGTCATTAACCAAAATAAAACCATACTTTCTCCCTTGGACTTTCTTCCCTGGTTCAGTAATGAGCATGAAATTAAAGCAGTGTCGAAGCAGAAGTAATATGTGGAACATTATCCTTCAGCCCTTTGCTTCCTATTTGACTCAGGTGAGACCTAGATATATACGTTATTATCTGTTCTAAATGATTGGAACACAGAGATATTAGCACAGTGTCCCTGCACCAGAAGCTTCAGCATCACCAAGGAACTTGACAGAAATGTAGATTCTTAGACTGTACTTTGGGACTTAAAAGTATGAAAATTTGGAGTTGGACTCAGAGATTTTTGGTACTAAAAAGTTAGCTAAGTTAACAGAAAATAACAGTAATCTGTTGTACTTAAAAATAAAGACGAGGGGCTGGAGCAGTAGTACAGCGGGTAGGGTGTTTGCTTTGCATGTGGCCAACCCGGGTTCAGTTCCCAGCATCCCATATGGTCCCCCCAGCACCACCAGGAGTAATTCCTGAATGCATGAGCCAGGAATGACCCTGGTGCATCGCTGGGTACGACCCAAAAAGCAAAAAAATAAGACGAGGGACCAGAGAGATAGAACAGGAGTTAAGGCAATTACTTTGCACATGGCTGACCCCAGTTCAATTCCTAGCACCACATGTGATCCCTCAGCATCACCCAGGAGTGATCCCTAAGTACAGAGAGAAGAGTAAGCCTTGAGCACAATTGGCTCAAATCCTCCACTCCCCAGAAAACAAACAAAAAAGATGGCATTTAAAATAATTCTAAAATAATTCTAGTCCTCTAATACTAAATTTGTATTTTCAATTCTTCTAAAGGGTGCGTTTTGTGCGGTGTGTGGGGAGAAAGTAAAATTGCCTCAAAAGGCTGAAGCACATGTTTTACAAGCAGGAGCCCAGCACTGCATGGTACCCTGAACACCAGGAGTGAGCCCCAAGCACGAAGTGTGGACCCATAGCCAAAAGCTCTTTTCTCTCTTTCCCTTTTCCCAGTTTCTCTAACCCCCCACCCCTTTTATTGCCGTTCTTTTCTGTATAGTGCCCCATACTCTGTGTCTTGCTGAGTGCATTTTTCATTGTGATGGCATGGTGTTGTAGCATTTTCCCCTAAAACATACATAAATATTTTGATTATTGTAAACTAAGGTAAGGTAAAGGTAAAGGCCCTCCCGTTGATCGTCGATTTGCTCAAGCGGGCCCAGTAACGTCTCCATTGGAGACTTTGTTGTTACTGTGTCTGGCGTATCGAATACTCTCGGTAGCTTGCCGGGCTCTCCGAGAGGGGCGGAGGAATCGAACTCGGGTCGGCCATGTTGGCCGCGTGTAAGGCGAACGCCCTACCGCTGTGCTATCGCTCCAGCCCAATGTCAGCTTAATAAAAAGTCAGTTATTCAAAAGCAGTGGAGGGGCAGAGAGACAGTACAGCAGGTAACGTGTTTGCTTTACACATGGCTGACCTGGCTTCTGTCACTGAAAAATGGATCCTCGAACATTGCCAGGAGTGATCCCTGTGCAGCACAGATGTAGAAGTAAG